AATAAGTAAAACATTGACACGGACGACGGACGCCGGACGACGACGGACAATCACTCATATGATAAGCTCCGCTTGACAAAGTCGACAGCGGAGCTAATAACAATCTCAATTGATGAGTAACGTAGAGGTCACATGGGTCAACCACGTGCATGTTAGGACAGCTATTTCCAGTAACACATAAACGGTGAAATAAATGACTGTTGATAGAGTCAATGAAATACTTTTAGTGTTAGTCATATCAATGGAAAATATTTGGAGCATGTCTATAGGAATCTGTTCTAGTATAAATGTCTCCTTTTTTGCTGATGTTTTCAATATGCATGGAACTAGACTGGAACAAAACGGTATTAGATACAAAAAAAACAATGTGGTTGGGAGGGGTGATCTTTTAATAACATACCTGGTACATAGTAATCAGTATTTTAATTTTTCTGAACCGAACATATAATTCACGCACATCAAATCCAAAATTCATACATATGTGACCAGTTAAGAAAACTAATTGATTTATTTCTATTCTCTGAGCTGAAAAAACAACATTAGTGAATTGCATAGAATACTAAAACAAATCCACAAGTTAGGCAGACTCCTTGCCTCTATGAAGCAAAAACAGATAAATGAATTCATGCCTATTAAACACTTGGAGGAATCCCAATTAGAGGCCTTTAAGAAGGAATAGGAATGGTCACAGTAGAATATAGATAGTGTGTGCATATTGCCAGTGTACTTACCAAAGAAGCCCTTCTTAGTCTTCTTGATAATGGCTCGCCAAAAGGTGGACTAAGGCTATTGTTGTACTGTTCTATAAATCTTTCTGGAAGACGAATATCAGCTGGCAGGGAAAGCCTTTTATTTATGTCCTAAGTGATGAGAATAACAACGTTAAAGATGAAAAGAAGACACCACGTACATGTTGGATGACTAGAAATCCAATTACCATCGGTTAGTATTAAGAAATGTAGTAGAAGTTCAATCTACATAAGACCAATAATTGAAGTCTGATTTTTAACTACACAATCATGGCAGTAATGAGTCAAAGCACGGCTATAGATACCAATGGTAAACTCTATTACCTGCATCTCCATTTGAAAGAGTACTCGGAGACGACAGTGAAGACAACGTTATCGTAGAACGGCGAAAAAAGTTATGACATCTGCATATGTAGTCACAACATAAATAGTCTCAAATATACGGAAAGATGGCAAAGCGATTCACATTCTCCAATGTAATTTAACATGGTGAATTAATAACAACATCATTTACATGCTTTAAACAGCTGTGATAATATAATGTGGCCATGGTATCACATGTATACATGGGACATGTA